AAAACCAAATTAACGTAATTGAGAAAGCCTCTGCCATTCAGTTGAAGTGCGTTAAAACATACACATGTATTTTCTGGTAGTTAAACGTAAGTGTTTGTTTAGCCAAAAATCTCGCTTTATTGAGGCAGATATTGCTGGTCTTATAGTAAGTCCTTGTTGATTCTTTATTTGTGTTTCTGTGTCCGCTAAGAAATAAACCTGCCATTAAATACCAATGTTTAACATACGTTTCTCGCTTTTTCGACATTATGTTTTTGTAAAAATTTTTTGTTGTCTAAAATGACCATTTTTAGCTAATTGAAAAACCCCCCTGCCACAGTCTTGATATTGGGAATATTCGGTGATATGGTTTCTTTCTTTTTAGTAATTCACCGAAAACCTAGGTGACGCTTTTGGTCAGAAAACCAGAACGGTCTTAAACCGTCGGTCTAAAACTGAAATGTTGGATCTGCCGGCTCGCGATGAGAGAAAGAAATATTTTGAGCGCTAAAGCCAGAAAAACGCTTATTGGAACCGCACCAGTTAAACATACAGTTTTATTTCCGGTAGTTTGTCTTTCTTAACGCGTAGAACTTTTTGTCAAAGAAGAATATTGTGTGTGTTGTAATATTAATCTACAACAATAGCGATGCTCTCTTTTATCGCGGTATTACATGCATTTCATTGACATTTGTTGTTGGTTTAGATTACGTATTAGCCTTTTTAGTTTCAGATTTTATCAAAATTTAAGTTTTAAATTTTAAAATCCGAGTTGAAGCCCGCTATTTAAGCGGTAAAATAATGGAACAGTGTGAATGATATGCGTTAAAGCCATTTTTTTTCTTTTTATAGTCAGCTTAAATCATCACGCCTCACAAGTGAAAAACGCACCTTTGTTTAACAGAACAATCATGAGACGTTTATGTCTCTTTTAGTGGTCGTTAATTTCCATAGAGAATATATTGCTTTTGTTTTATGGTACTTAGTTGTTAACAATGCTCCTCCTTCTCTTTTTCAGGAAAACGCGTCAAAAAAGGTTAGTATTGGTTGCTCATTTTCGCGACTTGCATAATTATCTTCTCCCGCAACAGCGACCGTTAGTCGTTTCACTGCCTCGAACAAAATCAAATCCCGGGTCATGTCGATCGCGCGAGTTCTGACGCGAAGACGATAGAAATGTTGAAGTTCCAGATTACTAGAAGGGCTGAAAATCTGTACACAGGTCCTCCTGTAAGACCATGGGACCATGATAGTAAGTTATGAAACCTTTGTCTTACGAGAATCAGTTAGGGCCCTCCTTTTTGCGAGCTGTGAAGGGCTCTCTGTCCCCCTGAAGGTGACTTTGTTTTTATATATTTCTATGTGTCCCAGGATACTCACTCATCAGCTATTTGCATCAAGCTTTACCAGCCGCTGTCATGTCGATGTATTTTTTGTTCGATCCTTTCTAAGTTTACGGTTGTACAGTTTATTGTAGTTAGATATCGCATTGAAGATTTTATATTTGGTGTAACTTACTCATTGTTACTTTTGTCACTTTTTCTAGGTGACAGATCTTTTGGTAGCCAACCTGGCAGTGCTCGAAGTTCTCTCTCTTCGCTGTCGGATTCAGTCCCACGCATTAGTTACTCAACAGAGGTTTGTGTTTATAAAATGTTTTCTTGTACAATGTCACTTGTGCCTTAAGTGCTCCTTCATCACGCGTGTTTCGCATCACGCACATGTTGACCGAATAGTCTGCGATTACGACTGTTTGTCCGTAAAATGTCGACTCAGACTCTTACGACAAGTACCCCGTTGATTAATCAACTAAACAAGCGCTGAAACAAATACAAGATTTTTACTATATTGTAAATCAGTGAACTCTCCAGTTTATATTGTTGTTTCAAGTGCGGGTCTTTACACAGTCACTTTGCTTAATTCAAATAGCAGTAACCATACGAATTTTTTTCAAATACGATATAGCGCAATGCAATATTACGAAAAAATTCAACTTGTGTCCTTTAAGCAAGGCGGAAAGTCATTGGCATGGTTGTTTATCGAAAACTTATTTGTTTTTGTTTGTTTGCATAAATTAGCTGTCGTGTTTTGCCTTTTCCGTCATTGTCAGAGGCTACTTCTTTTCCATCGACGCTAAATTGTTTAATTTTACGCTTGATTTGCGAGTTGAAAAAATACCTTTAAAATAAGGGTAGACATAAAAACAAAAAACAAAAAACAAAAAACTAGAGAGACACATGTCAGAATTATTCACAAAAACAATCAACTTGAAGAACGGAAAAGAAAAACTTGTGCGTAAGTCTCTGGGACCTTAACAAACTTTGAGAAGTCTTCGGATACAGATAGAAATCAATTTTCTTTTTAATATGTAGGGAATGTAACAAACCTCTTTTTTTTACTTGGAATACGTCTGTTATATCTGTTTACTTTTTTCTAACTGTATTCCATTTTTTTTTTCGATACACTTGCGTCACGTGTGACTTAAAAAAATACCGGAAATTCTATATTCCCTATCAAGTGCACTTGGCAAATTTTCTGCTCTGTACTTGTGACGTGTTAACAAGGTTAAAAGGCGAAGGAAGTAGGTTAAGAGGTTGAAGCGTTTACTACCTATTCATGTATACAATAACAATGAACGTTTTTGGCGCTGTCTGTACAGTCTCTACATGTGGATCAGAGAAGGGAAAGTGAGTCGTTCCAGTTCTGTAGAGTGGTGTTACCTGACCATTCATCCACCATTCTTCTGTGCAAGGAAGGTCAAACCTTACGCCAAGCCCTAATGCAACTATGCGAAAGAAGACACCTCTCGCTTGTCGCACACGAGGTGTTTCTTGGCGGTGGAGATAAGGTATCTTTATCACTATGGGCCTTGAGATGTTTGTTCCATTTGTTTTGCGCAAGATGTTTTCAGCATTGATCGCCTTTTGTTGTGACCTTAAAATTGTTCTGTTAAGCCTCTTGTGTGTCTTATATCAGAGGGTTTTTTTGTTCCAGTGGAGATAAAATATCTTGATCACCCTGACCTTTGGGATTTTTGATTTGTTATGAAAACAAATCCCCCGAGTATTGATCGAGTAATTTGGTGACCTTGAAAGTGTTCTGTTTCGTTGTTTATTGATTGTTCCTCGAAAGAGCCTCTTCAACAGTTTACCCGAGATTTGTGTTATTGTGGGTGGTAGTTGATAATTTTGAGTACACAATCGTTGCGGCCTCTAACAACAACAACAGTACCTTTAATTTGAGCTGTGCTTTAACGGAGGGGACACAGTACCTCTTGATTTATCTTACAAGTCTGGGGTATAACTGAAATGTTTGGGTAGTAAACAAGAGGTTAATCCCCGCCCAAGTAGGAACACTTTCAAGGTCAGGAAGCAGGATTCGTTTTTCAAAAATTTTCTATGTTTTTAGCTTATCCTGTTAGAGGAACTGGATGAAGACATGTCCATCATGGGAGGCAGGGAGGTGGTATTGATACACAGAACGCTTTTCAGGTAAAATTTCACGCACGAAAGGAATTGTCGTAAAACTTTTTCTTACAATATTAATCACATTCTACAGCAAGCACGTCATATGAGTGGACGGACTTAAGAACTTTTGGATGGTAGTTCGAAAGAACACCAAATCGACGGTCTTTATGTAGCAGCTGGAAGGGAGAATTACGCATCAGATCATAAGGGATCGTTATTGTATTGGCCATTCCCTTGTGTGTGAAAAAGCAAAAACCTAATTTTCAAATGAGACCAAGTTCGAAACCTTTCTCGTTTAAATTGGATGGCTTTGCCAAATAATAACTACTCATTTTCATGTTAAAAGCTGCACACTTACCGTTGTTGGTAACAGGGGCCACGAACATCTCGCAAATGGCCTTTTGCACAACAGGGAAAGTGAATTAATTCCAGCTGCTCATGGGACTGTTTCCGTGACGGAACCCCCATGCAGTTTCCCTGGACAGGGACCTAAACGTTTGCATTAGAGAACATACGCACAGACGGTAGGAGACGGCAACTCTCCGAGTCCGGTCTAATCATGTATGTTTTTCTGTGTATCGCTTTACTTGACTTTTTCTTTCGTGCGTTTTAGGTTGGAACTCCCAGATGGTGTGATCCTGTGCGTCAAGGTCAAACCCGATCAGAGCGTCAAGGCTTGTTTGGAGCCCATTCTCTATCGGCAAGGATTTTCTCCTACTCATGTGATCACTCATTTGGTACGTTTCTCTCGTGCCGTTTTAGTTAGGCATAGCTGACTTGAACAACCACTTTAGGGAAAAAAATCGTACTTAGTAAGTGGATGCAAAGGAACACACACGAAAAAAATGCCTTTCAAATATGAGAACGAAGGAAGTGCTTTACCGAGTTCTATTTTTTTACGAGATCATTTAAAGAAATTTCCAATTAAGCATCGAAAGGAATGTGGAATGGTATTTTTTTGCGCTTCCTTACTTGCCACCCTTCCAGCTAATCAGATGCAAACCCAAACCAATTGCGACTTGGCCACACGCGTTTATCAGTTTGCTTGTTTTGCAAGGAGTTTTCTTTCACTCCTTTTGATATTTGACCGATTTAATTACTTTGGTTTTCGTTTTTCAACGGCACTCAATTGAAAAATGCTCCCAAGTTTTCTCTAATGCTTCCTTTCCCTTTTTCTTTCCTCATACTCAGGTGGAATGTGAAGTGCCACTAGACCTTGGTATCCCAGCAGCCTCTATTGAGCATCAACTCGTAGTTGTGGAAACTGAGGAACAGCTTACAGGTACAGAATACTGTTCAAGGTTCTTCTGTTTTGTTTTGTTCTTTTGTTTGAACCATTTTCCTTTCAAGCATTGGTATGCAGGTGTTATTGCTGTTAACGCTGTACAATTTTATTATTTTATTAATTTCCTTTGAATATTTACCGCGGTTATAGGGGTGGGGGCGAATTTGAAACAAGATTCAATCGAATCATGAAAATCGGTAGCATAATATAATCGTGATTGCCCAATAAACACTAAAAAAAAGGAATTAAGGAAAAGCACTGATGCAAGAAACAAACCGCCAAACTGGGAGGTGTTAAGATTTCCAAGTGAGAGATGGTCGGCAAATAGCTGAACCTAAAGACGTTATCATATCTGCTTCCACCCGAAATTCGGTGAAATCTTAGTTCTAAACCGCCTTCGCTTCGAAAGCCTTCTCTCCAGGTTCTATGTCCATCTTTTCGTTTCCAAAATTGTTCTCTTGTCATGATATCCACTCTTATTGCTATATCGAGGCTCAGTGTTACGCCCCATCTATCGGCGTCGACCAGAATTCTGTAAAATCCCGGTTCTAAGCCACCGTCGCTTTGTAGGCCTTCTGTACGCCCATCGCTTTGTTACCGAAAATTTTCCCCGGGTTATACGATCCACTCATATTTTTTTAGTCTCCGTGTGCAGGCCCATCTTTTTGGTCTCCCCGATCAATAGTGCCCCAACCCTTCTCAGACTCGTGTACCAAACAAAAAATCACGCTCAAATTATAAACTCTCGTCACAACCTTGTATGAATCAAGGGCTTATAACGGGCGGATTTTGTGGTGTTAAGGATTGATGGCCCGCCCCCTTTAGTAGTTATTGGACGCAAAAGATATTTTCAATGGATTTTGGATGAAAAAACTTTCAAAATCTTTTATTATTAACTACTGTCAGACAAATTGTCGTCCTTGATTGTGCCAGTTGGTGTATGTAGATTCAGAACTTATCTTTTTAAGTGCGAAGTAAATTTTGTTGTTAAAACTAGCCGTCGAATATCGACTTGACAAGCTTCAGTTTGCTAAGTTTCTCTTCACAAACTAACAAGCGTCATGCAGATTATATATATTGGACTTGACATCTGCAAGTTGTTAAGATGCATGTTTTTTGAGAACGCGTTCGCTAAACACTTCCGCAGATGAACTTCGTTGTTTTTTGCATCTCATGGCTCACTCTCTGGGTGGTTTTTGGCACAATCAAATTTTCTTTTGTTTGCCAGCTGTTTGTCTCTCACCTTCCTGTAAAGCTAACAAAATCTGCAAGACGCCTTAAACAGACCTGACGTGTTTGTCTACGAATGTTTCGTGATTCGGATTTTGTTTTGTGTACCATCTCTGCGGATTCTTGAACAGAAAACAAAGTAGAAAGATTGAGGTCAACTTCTCCATCCTCTATTGTTTCTGTTTCGGGAGAATTTTCCAAACTCCTACCGATGTTGAAATTTGCAGTGAATGGTGAGTTGTACCCACCGACGTTGGCGTGGGATTCGTTAGTTTTATTGTTGTCGTTTGAAGTTTATCTGTACCGGCAACCGGTGTCAGGTTCCGTCTTTTACAAGAAAATATTTAAACCAAAAAGTGATTGTTTTTTCACCGCTTCGTTCACCTTTGTGCGTTGCTGGTTCTGTATTTTCAGGTTTTCTTCAGTCAGAATTGAATAATAGGATTTTTTATTTTTTTTTTTGTGAATGGTTTACACTCAAGCGTAATCTGATAAGGATTCACTTTCTCGTACCGCAGTGGTGTGTTTATTAAATTATGTCTAGCGCGTTTTCATAAAGAAAGACAGCGATAATTCTCAGATTCACCGGAATATTTCTTTCATTTACATGTGTGTCAGATTATTAGTGTGAGTGGAGCAGGTGGCTATATTTATTGTTCGTCTCTAGTAGCCGTGTAAAATTGACTGTTTCTTCGCACAAGACAAATTTTAATTTGCGGAATACTACTGTATGCAGACTAACAATGTTTAACTTTTCTATCGCATTTTCATTTGCTGCATAAAGAATCTTGTTTTTTATTTTGCTCCTTTCAAAAAGCCTCCTAGAATACCAAAAGTTCCACTTCAGATTAAGTTTCGTATCTTGTTCCTAGTTTTCGCGTTCAAACAGAGCAAGAGGAAGTCAAGCAATGTGATGCAGTTTTTCCTGTATCATAACAGTTCGTTCATTCATCGAAAAGCTTTCCCTTTACATGAGGTGACATAACAGATCCCTTTTTAAAAACAATATTTACCTTAACTTCGGCTGGAGTTGTTTCAGTCATTGATTTGTTTGTCAATGTGTGACGAATTGAAACAACATTTGAAATGCAGACAACGATGCTCATTGATTCGTCGCTTCTGAAACGAAATCCTTGTTGTACAATTACCTATTTCCGATAATTGAGCTTCTTTGAAAGCCTATTCAGTTCATTCTGTATCAATATGAACTTTAGATGTCGGTGCGGCAAACCATCATAGAATTTTTCCAATTAAGAATTGTCTCTCACGAACAAAAACACAGCAGGTACTAAACTGAAGGGACCCAGCTGTTATAGCCTTGACTTTTACAATTATGCCTCAGATCCTGCCTGAAAGATAAGGAAAACATACTAATAACACAGGAACCACGTGAGTGGACGCTACTGTTACAGTCATCTTCTTCAGTGTAATAAATTGAACTGCATGAAGATATTATTTGAAAGCTTTCTTTTCGATTTTTATACTCAAACAAGGGTTCTTTCGAGAACTATTGTTCACAGCAAGATGAAGAGCTCTCCTTTAGTAATACTCAGTACCTTTCTAATGAACCCTTTTGTCTCCTAATATCTATCTGAATGAAATTCTCCTAACTGTCTGCGACACCTTTCTTATTAATTTTGTTCTGAGAATTTGGTGTTGTATTTAATGAAAGTCCTCTGTTCTCTATTCTCATTACTTTTGCTTGGTATTGTATTGGGACTGTCAGGAGAAAATATGTCTTGGTCACTCCTGGGAGTTGAAAAGGCTTCATTTCTACGCGGCAGGGTTTTATATTAGCGAACAAACCTTAGTTTTATTTTCATCGTGGATCAGTGACGGCCTTCGCTTTTAGGTTTTCAAAGCGAGACTGGGTAACAATCCCTTTCCGTCGGCACTTCAGGAACTGCTGCTTAAATTTCCGGTTTCAAACCAGACTCACCGAGGTTTTCAAGAATTGTAGTTTTCTCGCTGTTTTATGATCTGTTTGTTTGTTTGTTTGTTGTTTTTGTTTTTTAAATTATTATTTTGTTTTGTTTTGTTTTTGATATAGGGAATATCAACGCCCAGTCTCCCCCTCGTCAAGTTCTTTCCGCGCGCGCCTCGCGGCGGGAAAGCAAAAAGAACGCGTTTGACGATCTCGCTTTTGAAGAGGTCATGCGTGGTAAGAGACAAGCTCTTGGTGACGGGCACTTCGACCAACTAGGAGTGTGGGTTCCTGAGTCTACACCGAGCGAGGATTCATTGAAGGAGGATCTGAACCGTGGAGATGGAAGTTTTGGGAAGAGTTTGTTAAAAGCTCAAGGACTGTTTGCAAGAAAGCGAAGAGAAGGCAGCGAACAGGAAAAGATCGTAACAGTTGTTAGTAAAAGTGGCCGTTTCGGAAACGAAAAAACCTCTGATGTGAAAGGTATTCACGCTTGTTTAGCTCTGACCCATAGATAAATAGGAGCCGCCAATAATTATAGTGAATTTAGAATTCATGAGAGGGAATTTCATTTCATGATTATGACTCACTTACATGCCACGCCTAAACGTCAATTAATTTTTTTCAACTGGTTGAAGCAAACACTAGCACAGTCATCCAGAGAAGGGACGCAGACAATGTACAGCCGAAACCTGTGTTAACCAGACACCCACGGAACCCCTGCTGGTGTCTGCTTGTAAAAGGGGTCTGCTTATTGCGGATTTCATTTTGGTTAATAGTATTTGAGAAGTTTTCTCGTTGTTTTAGTTTTGGTTTTGTTTTTTCTTTTACATACATGGATTCGTTCTCGGCTTAGATTTAACTCTGATAGGTTTTATAAGACCCATCAATGTCAGAACCAAACAGAGCAGGAGTACTTTGAAAGGAAATAACGCATATATCTTCTCTCAACGTACTGTTCTAAGGAAGCTACAAAAACTTTTTTCAAGAAGTCTTGTGAAACTATTAATTATGAACTGCCTAATGCTCGTTATTTCTAGCTGTAGTTACTTTGATCTACTGCAACATTTTTATTGTTTGCGGTATGAAATGCTGAAATTGTCAGTGTTTCTCTAAGTCTAATTATCCTAGCAAGTATATGCTTAGTCCTTACTAGGCAGAGTTTTTTTTCATTTGGGAACCTTGTTTTGCCGATCGAGGACAATCCAGAAAAGCTGAAACACGCAAATGAATGTTCCAAGTTTCACAGTGACTTGTTGCACCACCCTCTGGTGTTTCCAAGCTTTACTTTTACGCCAGGTGCAACCAAGCACTTTGCTCCTACATTCTAATTCGCTATTCAAGTGCTGAAGCACTTGAATTTTCTTTTGTTTTTTTGCCATCAACCTGTCGCATTGCTCTTTGCGTCACTGTTGCCATAGTTTTGGGAAGGTTTATTTAATTTGCATCGTTGCTTGTGAGGGTTGGTCAAATCGCCGCTTGTTTTTGTGAAATTTTTAATCGGTCAAGGCAAGTTCGTGTATTTTTGCAGTTTTTCATCTGATCGTATTGGTTTACTTGCTTTGCGGTTTGTTAGGCGAGGGAGACATTATCGTTCTTATTCCCTTTGTTTTAATTCCTTACTGAAACTTCATTGTTTGCACGTACATTCTACTCCTAAATTGTCACGAACGCGTTGAAGATAAGGATTGTGGTCGCGAATGTAAGCTTTTTAGCAAATAACTGCTACCAAGTTTTGTTTTGCTTCAAACAAGCCACGTAAGCGATTCGCTTTGATCTCAAAGTTGTGTTAATGCGATTTACTTCGCAGTTTCAGTTTCAAAGCGTCGAATTCATTTCACCTGTTTTCATTAACCTGTTGTGTGCTGTTTAAGGCTATTTTTAATTTTTGTTTTTGTTTTTGCTCAGCAGACTTCTTTGACCTTATCAGCCGTGCTCAGGCAAATAGAATGGATGATCAGAGGGGTGAACTGAAGGGAAACTTAGAATTGCCGGATTTCCTCAAAATCCCGGCCAGCAACAAGTTAGCTCAAGGCAATGAGGATTTCAAGGTACCTTATCCTCCTCAGCCGCCTCACGGTTTCAGAACTAAAGAGAGGAACGTATCTAAGCCTGTCTTGAAGAAGACACTATCGTCGCCAATCGATTGTCCTGCCGAGAAAATGGATTTGATGCAAGAGCTAGCCGCAAAGTTTTCCAAGAAAACGGAACCAACCAAGAAAAACCCATCGCCGAGAGTTGATCAGGAAACTGAACCGAGCGAAATTCTTTTGGACTTTAATTTTAACTCGAGGCCGCAACCGCAGCAGGCACAGAATTCCCAGTTAGCTGCTCACTCAGAGGATAAACAAAAAGGTACACCGAGACCCAGATCGTGTACAGATTCTAATTTGTACACGATGGAAGTTACTCCGCACGGGATACGGCATGAAACGGACAATCGCCCGCAACCTGTCACTGACGCGGAACCTCGGAAGAGCGTTGCTCATGTTCCCCCGTCAATACGGCCACAAGCATCGCAACCTGTCACCGTAAATAGCTTGCGGGGAATGCATTACGCTACGAATCCACGGCGCAATACTGTGGATCAAGTTATGCATTTTCCTTCCACGGGAAGCGTTAAACCGCCGGCGATTGGAAGGGTTTCATCGAAATCCTCACAGAATATCAGAGACGTAGCACCTGCAATTTACGATATGAGACCGGAACCGAATAACGAAGGGGTACGATTGAAAGGGTATGATAATTCGGCGAAATATTCAAGTACTCCCCGAGATATCCCTCAACGAAAACTTGTCTCTGCGTACAGTTTGCCCGAGGTGAACTCCCAGAGAGCTGAGGTACATATTCCATCTGAGGGAGGCCCCCCTCCAGTTCCTCGGAGAACAGTTTCTAGTATGGACCGCCGACCCCGACCTAAACCAATTCACAATCCCAAGGAACTTTTAGCAAGACTTGAAAACGCGCCAGTGTCGTCGACTGAAAGGGTAGAATCACCACCGAACCCTAATATTTCGAGAGTTGGAAGCCCTCCCCCTCCCCCTCCTACCCCGCCCTCAGGCTCGTTGTTAGACCTACAAATAGCCGACTTCTCTCCACCTCCTTCGATTTGTGATTCACCAGAAAAAACCTCTCGCCCGCTTGAGGATCGAGACACTAAAAGATCCTCCCAGCCTTCAGGTTCTCAAAATAACTATTCGCCGAACAGGACTAGCAGTGAAAGTTTTGCTGGGCCCGTAGCGTATGTTGAGATGCCAGGAAAAGATTCTCAAAGAACGTTGAACTACATTAAACAGCCGATCACGCCGAATGTTAGAGTAAGTAATTTGAACGCATCCAATTCGACGAACTTATCTCAGCGCCTGCTGAGTGAGAACCGAGTGGATGCAATCACACAGGCGTCCACTCCAGGGTCTGTGACGCCAACTGTTTCGAACTTAAACAAAACGGTTACATCATCTCCTGCAAACGAAAGGACTCTTGTCGAGGAATCACCATCGGAAAATGTGACTCCTTACGCGGGTCAAAGACCGTCAATGGACAGTGCATCTAAACGGCTGATAACCAACACGGGAAGCGTTCCAAGAACTAAAAGCACTGATCTAGAAAGACGTAAAAGCCGACAGGGCAGCGAGATTCCTCAGCTAGACCCTTACGTCACTTACGAAAAGGAGGACTTGCGAATAACGTTCGTGTAAGAAATTCACCTAGAACTACTTCTGAGGGAGAAAAGAGAGTTAAAGATATATTTTCGGTAACCTGGAGAGTAAAGATTTTACAACTTTTTTGGGGTGAATATTAATGTTTTCCTAGCGTTGCTTATGCTTTATTTGAGTTTGGAGCTTTAAAAGAAATTTTTTATGTAACTGCTCAAAATATGAAGTTAGAAATAATTTAAGTGATCTTCGAATTATTGAGTTGAAGCCAGGAATAATTTAAAGGGGATGGGTTCAGTCGACGGCGTTTGTATTGGAAATACAGGCGAACAATGCGTGTTGCCAGCTTGAGATGTGACGCCTCCGCTTGTGGATAATGAAGATCACTTTCTGTGGTGTGAATATTTCTTTCTTATGTTTTTTTAGAAATAAGTTTTTTATGTATTTTATTGACTAGCGAAATGAATCTAATATTGATGTTTACGATGATGATCGTGTTTTTATTTTCTTATTGAAAATCGAAGAGCCACTTTTTCCTGAAACTTGCTGTTTCCGTTGCATGCTTTTGTACAAAGCCATTACGGCGTCGCACATTCCACCTAATAGCTTTGCGTGACGGCAAAAAGAGTCGCCCTCGTGACTTTAGAAATAATTTTTATGGAAACATATTTTTTTATATATATTTCCCCAACACAACGTGTACCCAGCAATGTTACGGAAGATATATGACTTTTTCGTCTTTCGGAAACTGAATTTTCTCAGAAATGGTTATTTGCTTATTTATGAGGTTGTCAAAACTACGTTTTTTTGGTCATATTTACACTTTAGTTTGAAAGGCAGTCAAAGGGTATAGTTTTGTACGAAAGAGGTATCTGATGTTAATTATGAAATACAATGTTTGAAATTGTATCAATGTGATCAAGGGAATCTTCATGAAAATGTTATCCTTTGTTAATTGTTGTTCATCGACAATATTGACAGCTAATTTTTCATAGTTCTCTAGGTCAGTGCTTGCAAATTTCAAGGACTTTTCCAAAACTGAGATTTTTCGAGAACTCCAAATTTCACCTTAAAACCCGTGAATTCCCAAGATTTCAAAATCAATTATTCTCTTTACGGTCTACATACATCTCATACAACGTAAAATATGAAAACTTTATTGCTTGAGTTAGCCAGATTTACAGGACTTTTCAGGACCTTCAGTTCTTTACGGCGCTTTCCTGTTATTGAAAATGTGTAAAATAAAATTCGAAGAACTATGTTAGGCAAATCGGCACGAAATTGAAGCGACTATTGATGAAACATCGAATGGTAGCAAAGGCTCGGATACCTTACTGGCAGTGCGGACGAAAAGTTAAAGGGGGCTTCACGAATAAGACAAAAAAAAAGACATATCAAACGGACGATCATTAGTCTTGCACCAAAAATGTTTCTGCCACATTTTTTAAGGGAAGCTGTAGTACGAGTGAAACCCTTTGGAAGGAATTAACCAGGTAAGGAGTGGTTGAATTTGTGATATTCACTAAGGTAAGGTGATTACAATTCTCAAAGGGATCACACTTGGATTACTAACGCATTATAATTTGTTGGTCATGATCTTTTATTAACGTTTGGTGGCTCTTAAAAGAGCCGTTGTGTATGTTGCGTTCAATCCACTCTACTTGCTGCTAGAGTACTTGGTGACTGCCTTTGTTCCCTCACTCACAGCGTGCTTGGCTAGTTCACCGGGCAGCAGCAACCGGACGGCCGTTTGAATCTCACGAGAACCAATTGTGCTCTTCTTGTTGTAATGGGCCAGGCGTGATGCTTCGCCGGCAATCCGCTCAAAGACATCGTGAACGAAAGAGTTCATGATTCCCATTGCTTTACTGGAAATTCCTGTGTCTGGGTGAACTTGTTTGAGCACTTTGTAGATGTAGATAGAGTAGCTTTCTTTTCGCTTCTTGGTTCTCTTCTTTTTGTCGCCTGATGCTCTCTTTCCACTGATTTTCTTAGCTTTCTTTACACCTGCTTTAGGAGGCATTCTGCCAATATACTCGTAACAAACCTCGGGTTATAATAATGACCTTCGTAAGATTTTGCGAATGAGGCTTTATACCCGAACAGATATTTATAGCAAAGTACCACAGGATCGAAAATCGCTTGGATCAAACTTGCTAATTTTCGATTGGTTTAACAAAAATTAGCCTGCCGCCTGAGGAAACCATATTTTTGCTGTGCCCTGACTGGCTAAATGGCGTATGCAGTTTTATCTCTTATTGGCGCATTTCGATCCATCTGCATTTATAAATTTATTGTGCAAATATTTCTGCTTTGTTCGATCTGTAGGTATTTTATCTAGGGGGTTGCTTATTTTCGTTATGACAGGTCGAGGAAAATCCGGTAAAAGCCGTAGCAAAGCTAAAAGTCGTTCATCGCGAGCTGGACTTCAATTTCCAGTTGGCAGAGTCCACCGTCTTTTACGTAATGGGAACTACTCGGAGCGAATCGGTGCGGGCGCTCCGGTTTACATGGCAGCGGTTCTCGAGTACTTGTCCGCTGAGATCCTTGAGCTTGCTGGTAACGCTGCACGAGATAACAAGAAGACAAGAATTATCCCAAGGCATCTTCAGCTCGCCATCAGAAATGACGAAGAGCTGAACAAGCTCCTTGGTGGGGTCACCATTGCTCAAGGAGGAGTTCTCCCCAACATCCAAGCTGTTCTTCTTCCCAAGAAATCCGAAAAGAGAAGCAAACAGTGAATTGTCTTCTGAGAAAGAAAAAACGGCTCTTTTAAGAGCCACCAAAATTGCAAAAGCAATTTCCAACAAACTGATAGGAAGATTTTCTCTTTTATTACATACTAAAGTAGTAAAAAAGTCAGCATACATATTTGTAAAAGAAAAAACCCTGCTTTTGTCTTAATGGACACTTGCACGAATCAGATACGTAGTTTTAGCTTTTTTACAGATTTCTGAACCCTAAAAATGCATAACAAAGCTATATGTATGCCGTGGAAGCAACCGATTTCCTAGCGAAACTCAAAAAGCCTCCGCCGCAGATTCGGCAAAATTCTAAAGTAAGTTGATATCTATCGGGTGCCGTACGCCATATCCTTAAAAGTACAAAAATATTGTCCATTAGAAAAACACCATAGTCCATTTACAACTGTGTTCTCTTTTCGTAATGATTGCTGGGAAGCCTCGATCCCTCTATTTAAAGACCTGAAAGCTTTCATTCGCATAACTTTTCTTCATCTTCTTTTTATGAATTTCAGTCTTCTGCATAAGCTCCTCAGTTCTTCACCGCTTATTGCACTCAACAAGTTTACAGATGGAATGAAAAAGTGGGGACAAGTTTTATCGCGAGCGAAACACTCTAAAGCCTTGACGAGACCGTGAAAACGATAAGGGACTTTCTCCTCGGTCCACTGATCAAACTCGGAAAGTTTTGCGCACTCATGCAACAAAACGGTCTGTAATAGGTACGGTTTAAGAAAATCACAACCAAGTTCTTCGTAAACAAATGTTTTCAAAAGCTGAAAGCTTTCCCGTCTTTGAGGAAATCTTTTGAAATCGAGCTCAAATCTTTCTGCTTTGCAAAACCAAATTCTCCAATGATACTCTACTGAGGTTGCTTTTGAAACCAACTGAATCCCACAGTTAACTGTTTTCCGCTTGGAAAGCGGGTTTCTTTTTTGACCCAGTTTTTTTCCTTTTGAAGGATAAGTGGGAATCGGCCACGGCAAACCTTCGCAATCAATAACAGGTAACAAGTCAACAGTTAGAATCAAACCTCGGAAGTCAATCTGAACACAGACCTCATTGTCAGAAGAAATATTTCTGACTTCAATACCACGGGTTGTTTTGTTATGGTAGAGCTGTAAATATAACATGTCTGTAAGCAGTATGGACAAAAGATTAGAGAATGCATAGCGCAACATTTTCGATGACAAGTATTCCTGTCCCGTAGAAGATCTTCTGCACTCACTTTTCCATGGGTTGTGAGTGTGCGTGTTTTGAATTACTTCGACTAGCGTGACACCTGGAGAACATCCATCTTCTTGTAAACGTATTTCGGTGGTGCGAAGGCTATTTGAACTAAGAAAAAGAAGCAATTCAAAATGGTTCCTCTTCTTTTCCATGAGGAAACTTGACGAATTGACAGGTTGGAATGTAAACTTCGGGTCGTGTTGTGCCACAGCATTTAACAGAATATTTACGACTGATTCCACCAATTCGAAGGGCGAATCCTTCCCGCTATCATCTCTTCTATTTTCAGCTTGCAACATTGGTAGCACATGGTCTATCCACCGCGGAATTGACTGTGGTTTAAGAAATAATGTTTTCTTAGTCGAGGAACTCATTTCCTCTTTCGTTTCAACACTGATTCAGTGTCGAAGCAGCGCTGAGAAACACACCGCAAACTAATACAATCAACTGTTTAAAAATTAAACAGTGCCTTACTTGTGGTTTTCAGGTTTGCCGATTTGTAATGTACAAATTTTTGAGTGGATGTGCGAGAATACGAAATTGTTTTCAACCAAGAAATAAATGCGTTCTAGGCGCGCTCTTTTTTTGAAACGTTGATCAGTTGTATCCATTTGTTCAGGCCACTTCAGCTTTTTCTCAGTTTTCAGCTTAAACTAAAACAATGATAATTTATAGATGACGAAGTGTTAATCCCTGAAACAAAAGTCGGGAGAATTATTCAACACAATTTACTGAGCCAGAAACGAATAATCGTTTTGGTATAAATGCAAAAATTTTATTTCATTAATAATTGCTTCCAACTCATACGCATCAAGGAACAAAAACAAGGCCCCGGTTGTTCGAAGGGTGAATGGCGCTATCCACTGGACAAGTCGTGTAAGGTGGATAGTGCAGCGATTTATCCGTTGGATTGAGTTATCCACTGTTATCCACCCTTTAAACAACTGGGCCAAGGAGTCTGACGCGAAGATTAGGTCTTTTAAGTGCACATAATTCAAAGGAGACTGAAAACTTTTATTCATTTTGTTTACCTCCATATGCTGTCGAATACCGTTGCAAATTCGTTTTGTTGTTTCAACCACTGTGCACATCAAGAAAGTATTGCGTGTTTCGTTTAGCAAATAGGCGTTGCCTTTTGATAGATTTATTTTGATTACGAGACTCGTGACTGCCATACGGTGATTTTAAAGTGTTAGCTCATTACGTTTTAAACCAGTTTTTCAGAAGAATTGATAAGAGAGAGAAGTGCTACATAGTCTGTTCAAAACTCCGCTTACCTGAATCTCCTAACTTGTTTAGACTGTTTTTACGACCCGCCACAGAAGTTTCCAATCGCGTTTTCTGAATTTGCTACGAAATAAAGACTTGATTTGCGTTTTTCTGATTTCGAATTTTAAATGTGTGTCTTTTAGATCGAATAACTGTTAAAGTTTGGATAAGTATTATACAGTTTGTGGTGGTCGTCTGAGCTGACCAGTTCCGAGTAAGGAAACATTGCACATATTTTTTTTTTAATTTTTAATTATTCGTATGAAGATAGGCAACCAGTTTCCATTAGAATCTAGCAGGTTTATTTATTTAAATGAATAACAACTTTTTTTTCAAAAAAGAAATGTCCATTTGTTGCTCAACATGTTTGAATCATATCTTGACAAAATAAGTTACCATAGCAACACTTCAGCTGCTTAATCTTGGCTTTGTCTGTCTGTAACTTTAAAAACGAGTTCAGTTAACTCACTTCAATTTAACAAATGGTAAACACCACAGCGTACACTATTGAGTTATGGATGCACGCGGGAGGTTGCTAAGCACGAAAGAAGCGTAAGAGTCGCTCGAGGCGATAACCGAGAGCGACTCTACCTTCTTGAGTGCTTAGCAAACCTCCCAAGTGCATCCATAATTCAATAGTGTACGCTGTGGTGTTTACCATTTGTTTTATAACATAACATTGATACATTGTAGCTAAAGAGTTCCCTTTTATTTAACAAATCTTACGCGACCAGAAAAAACAAGCGCGCGCGTAAAAATAGTTCTCCTCCTGTATTTATCCTAGCCAATGCAATTAGACCTTAATCTTTTAGATAGGCAGGTCCACATCAGCCATTGACTGACTTTTACCAACCTGCATTAACAAATTAACTATGTATGTATGTATGTATGTATGTATGTATGTATGTATGTATGTATGTATGTATGTATACAGAAGAAATCGATAAATCATATGGGAGGTTAACGTTTTATTTATGTTCTTCTGATGACTATCTGGACAGATCTGGACAACCTTCTGTTCGAAGATGACGATGACAAAAGTTTAGAAGAGCCTGTGTTTGTCACCGAAATCCAGGACATTCCTTCACACGACAACGACAACAGTGACAATGAAGGCAACCCATCATTGGTAACAGAGGCCCAACTGACATCATCAGAGTCACGAGAAGTGGAAAGTGGAAATGAAAGGTCGATAGTTTGCCCTATATGCCACTCATTATTTCCCCTCTCAGTTATTGAAGGGCATGCTGATCAATGTTCCATGTGGTTACTCGATGACGAGGAACAGCCGTGTGACAGTCAAAGTTATGGTGGTACCTCCAATACCGTTGAGAAAACAACCACAGGGCAGGAGTTGACTGGTCAGCAACATAAGGCGGCCTTAAAGGATAAAATATCTGAATTATCACGTCAGTTGGTGTCACAGGATACGAAACGTCTTACCGTCAGACGAAAGATTATCTGGCTAGATTTCAAGTCGGCCATGGAGACTAAAATAGATCCCAAATCATCACTTAAAGTTGTTTTCACTGGGGAGCCTGCTGTAGATGACGGTGGACCGAAGAGAGAATTATTTTCAGGTAGGATAAACACAAGTCAGCATCATGGATAAAGTAATAGATTTTGATTGTTATTTTTTGACATGGTAAGAAGTGTTATAGCTCAGTCAGTTCCTCGAATGATCATATCTTCCAGGCGGATAGCTACGCTGTTACTACCCCTTTAAAAATCAAAGCAATATGATCTTTTTATTACACGACTCGGGCAGTCAGACAGGGCTTTCAAGACCTGTTAGGTGTCTGCTCCCTGAGCTCTCCCTGAAAGCGCCTTTGAGTCTATGAAGAATGTAAGTTCGAATCATCCCACATAGCACCATTACTTTACCAACATAACTAACATAACCTTGATAAACTACCATCCACATGCCAGCTGAAGTTTGGACCGTAACTGAGATATTTCCTCTGAGAAAGTCTGCGCCTTCTCTCCTGCACTCCCACTGGGTCAACTTCCCATAAAATAGTTGCTACTTAGTGGCGAGGGACATGAATTTGATGCACTAGCCTCAAAGAATGCCACCATGCTCTGTCTCCTAGTGATTCACCAGAACCACTGTTTTCATTCCTGATTATATCACGCAACTGGTCAACATCGACCTCGTTTCCTCTTCTTTTCAACCCACAATCTCGCAGCCTGCGTGTAAGAGTACTTAAACTTATTTTAATACCGTGGTAGTCGACCAAGAATTGCAAAATAACCTCATTTTCATACCCAAGATGAAAGTACTTTTGCATTAGCGATCGTTCGTCTTCCGCCATTGCAACATAGTAGCGCTCTCTCCAATATCTTATGGATGCCAATGCGCACGCACAACTTTTCATTCTTAATTTGCTGGTTGTATTTTTAGTTTGCAGCAACATTTTTAATTATTTGCACGTGTGACCCTTCTGGGCCATTTTACATTTGCATGTACTATATTTAATTTGCAGGTAATATTTTTAGTTTGCATGTAAAATTTTTAATTTGCAGCACTATTTTTAATTTGCAGGTAATATTTTTAGTTTGCGGCAACATTTTTAATTTGCATGTGTGACCCTTCAGGGCCACCATATGTATCGCAAGGCTAATTCATCATTCACCCCATCTAGAAGGAGTAATGCTACTGTACACTGCTTCATGCTGGATAACACCATCAACTAACATAAGCAAGGCTTGCCAGATCCTTTTGTTTTCATATTGAGAATGCACAAATGATAAATGAAAACCTTTTGAATAACTCAAGGCCATAGCCCCTCCACAAAGTTAAAAAGACCTACACACCCACTTAAAACTTCCCATATCAATACCTTTTTACTCACTTTTTATAACCTTCAGCATCCCTTACAGTTGAAACACAGGCACAAATCTTTCCTTGGTTCTCTGGAGAGAAACCTAATCAACATTAAAAAATCCTCCCCATAGTATTGCAATATTCACAGAAGACATTTCTACTTATCTCTCTTTGCCCTACCCAATGAATAAAACTCTTCATTTGGTTGCATGTTGGTTAAATGAGCCATTCTATTTGATAATGCAAAGAGTCCAGCAATAGCACCAACATCCCAAACATCTTCAGTGTTCAAGCCATGTTTTTCAAGAGCTGCTATGTGTTCATCTTCTATTGTTTCTGATCTACAAACACGCATTGCAAACTGAATTATAGCCTTTTCTCTTTCTGTGAGGTCAGCACAGTGCCAATTGGCTGTTACCTACAAGAACCATAAATAAAAAGATAAGTAAACATAAAAAAACTATTGTCAATGCCTGCTCCAGGTTCTCACAAGAAAGTACGAGTCCTTGAGGAGCACAAGCCTTTGAGGGTCTGACACAAATATTGAGTCATTTTATTTGCGCCAGACCCCTGGCAAACTTCTTCGCTACAATCCTTAAATATTCCTCAAGGCAGAGCCATGAAGATATGATGTTAGATCAAGGCAAGAACTTCTACAGTGTACCTGATAAGCTTGAGTATTGTCATTAAATTAAATTTAATTTATCAGATTCACTGACAGGCAGGGACACTGCAACAGCTTGCACCAATTACTGTGGGCCCAGTAAAGGCCACCCACCCCACCCCAGGGGAGGACATCCACCACACACTGATCTCATGCATGGGAAATTAGGGTCTCCTACCCCTAACCCTGCAGGAGACAGGGCCTATGGTTTATTCGTCCTTACCCAAGAAGACAAGAATATCTATCCATTTCTTGATATTATAGAAAGCTAGCAGATTCTCCTCAGTTATTTTAAGACCCTAAGTGTTGGTCCAGCCAGGGCTTGAACCCTTGACCTCCCGCACAACAGTCCAGCGCTCTACCAATTGAGCTAACCAGGAGGCATTTAGTTGTTTGCTGGATAAAGTATGGATATTATAGGGAGAAGCTACATGTTAATCACTTCTGGGAGTTGAAAGGTTGAAATGTTTACAGATTTTTACCTGATCTCCTAGCAATGGATTTTTTGAGTAGATTCTCAACAGTGCACCATGAGCCACAATACAATACAAACAGCTGTTTGCTGAACTTGTTGCAACTACAACCAACTCTTTCTCTGCTTTGGTAAGGTTCCCCTCTCTTAGCATCAAAGCATCATAATACACGAAAAAAGCTCGGAATTCATCTGGTCGATGAGCAAGAACTTTGAAAACATTTGGTAAAAAACCACCCTGGAAAGTAAAGAAATGCGAATTGTTCAGTTTCATGTCTGGTAACACACATGCCTGAAATTATCTCAACAGCTTGTTTCCATGCCTAATTCTCAAAGAAAATTTTACCTTGAGAGTGAAGGACCTTATGGTGCTAACCTTGTTTAATGACAGTGGTAAATATTAACTATAAGAGCATAGGTTGCTGGAGAAGTAGGTTTGGAACCCAACAGAAATTCTTGTATGTGTTCCTATGTGATCACCTTGTCATTAGAACTGCTTTTTAGGTTGCTGGTAGTTACAAAAAGCACTCCTTATCATATTTGGTTTAGCCCTTTACTCCAAGAATTATAGTAATTTCCTTACTGTCTGCCCTATAATTACCATAACATTGCTTCTGAGAAATTGTTGTTATTTAAAATAATAATCCCCTTGTTGATGTTATTTTTCTCTTTTCTCATCACCTACCTGCTTGATAGTGTATTGTTACTGTAAGGAGAAATAAGTTCCAGGTCACCCCTGGGAGGTTAAGGTAAAGTCTGTTTATGAGCCAAGTGTTCCACTAGGCCAGCGCTTAACTCTGGTTTCCCTAGCATTAAGAGACTAAGAGTATTTCAGCTTTTTTTCCCTGAATGGGATGCAAGTGCATCGCAGGGTTACCACCAGCATTAGATTTGCCAGCAACCTTTTAACCACCTGGGTGAAGAGAGGCCCTGTGAAAGTAAAGTGTCTTACCCAAGAGCACAACACAATGTTCATGGCCAGGGCTTGAACCTGGAGCACTTGATCCAGAGTTGAGTGCACTAACCATGAGGCCATGTTGCTTTGGGAGTGAAAGGGTTTTTAATGGCTTCCCCTCTACTTTTGGTTTTGTTGAGGAAGCCAAACCAAGTATAATGAAAAATGGAGCAGGTGTATGAAGGCTGGAAATATTGTGAACTCTGACCTCAACCATAACTCTTCTTTGCCTTTTCAAACCTGCACTCACACCGTCCTCCAAGGAAGTCAATAATATATACTTACACCTGCATTTCTGGCCAAGTGGCCGTGATGGTGGGCAATTTTCGGAACTTGATGAGACCATCAACCACAACCACACCTTACTATTACCATCAACCACACCTTACTATTCTAAAAGAAAAATCGTAATGTCCCAAAGCTAATCCATTGTTTCGCCATAGTTTTCTTTTATCAAGAAACGCGCCGTGTTCTTCCGCCATGTTAGGCTTGAACTTTTCGTTTACAGCATTTTTATCTCTACACGAGCTAGGAACCTTGGTCACTTTACCTACCTTCTCTTCGACCTCTTTCATTCTCTCCTGTATGTCTTTGGGTAACGTGTCAATATTTGGAACAGGGAAGCGGCTGATCGGAATTTCCTGGCTCATGTTCCTATTCCCCACTACAGCGACAAATTTTTGAGCCATCGATTTTCCCCGTAGCAGAGGAGGCGAATTTAGATACCCCATGCGGATCAGACCTATTCTCATAGCGCGAAACGCCATTCTGTGGCTCACTGCTGTGCGTTTTACATAACAAAGGTTATGAACCTTGGTTTGACCGCTGCATTTTCGGTTAGTACCCAGTTTTTTTGTTAGACGATCTTCATCCCGTGACGTCACGCTTAGTATCAATTTAGTTGCTACACAATACTCGGTGCGTTGTGGGCAACTTTCGTGATCTTCACGCAAAATGGTAAGTGAATGGTTCTCAAAATTGTTCCATACTTGGAGCTATGAAGCTAACAATAATTTTTTCAGGGTTTGCTATCGCTTCTGCGAAGTCTAAAGTCAAATGCAAATAAGGAATTGAGGATTCTTTTCCTTGGCTTGGACAATGCCGGGAAAACTACGATTTTGAAACAGCTTTCTCATGAAGAAATAACTCAGATCACCCCAACGCAGGTATGTTATGTGCTTTTGTTTCGACGATAAAGGCGAGGAATATTGCCCTAAATAAATGTTTTTCCTCCTCAGGGATTTAATATCAAAAGTGTCCAAGCCCAAGGTTTTAAGTTAAACGTCTGGGATATAGGAGGTGAGCGCAGCTTTTCTGTTATAATTTTCGTGCAAAAAATTATGTTTTCAAACAATCTGTTCTGTTGAGTAATCCAACCCATTTGAGAGTATTCTTATACTCGATTATTTTGATGTTGGAGAACTATCGGCTCAAATGATAGGTTTTATTTGATTTGTCTTCTTTTATTAGGTCAAAGAGCCATTCGTCCGTATTGGAAAAATTATTACGAACATGTTGATGTTCTGGTAGGTGTTGATTGAGGTTCATTAGACAATTCATCAAACTCACTAGTGATAAATTCAGAATTTGGCACTTCAGTCCTATCTTTCTGAGATAGTTCCAGTGAATTTGTTTGCTTAAATAACTTCCAGTGCTTGTTTTTATACCCACGTATTGTGCTATCCAGTAAACCTGCGATCCGTTTCCCTTTAGGTTTATGTTATAGATAGCGGAGATCGAAAGAGAATAGAAGAAAATGGTATCGTAAGTATTGTATACTCTTTATTACCACCCTTTAAATTATAAATAGTATGAAAATTCTGTTATGCAACACTCTTAGACATTGGTAATACTCAGTTATTTGACCAAATGCTGGTAATGTTTAATGTTAGTGACAGTTTGAAGTTTTGAAAGTTATTTAGGAAGTTGCGGTACTTCCTGTTTGACAGTAGTTACCGAATTTGATGATAAAGTTAATTTTTATGGTTATTTTTGTAGCTGGTACATTTTTAGAGTATTTTTTCTGTAGGAACTAGAAGAGCTGTTGTCTGAGGAGAAACTATCTGGTGTACCTATGCTTGTTTTTGCAAATAAACAGGATCTTTTGGGGGCTCAACCTCCTGATGAGGTAACCAGTAGTTAACTGTGCAATAATGAGCAGTGGTCATATTTCTTAAAGGAAAAGTTAACACTGCAGAATGATCCCTTAGGTGTTAAAAATCTTAATTAAAAACAAGTTATCAATTATTTCAATGGAAACTACATTGATTTAGTCTCTGATAATGATTACCCACTCAAGGATATCAGAGACTGAACATCTTTCCTTCCATGTATATTTTCTTCAGAAATATCAATAAAATTATGGAGTCCTTCTTATGATAAAATAGTACCCAATACCACTACTATGTTGTGCAGCGTGTTAATGTCACATTATTTGAATTATATAACACAAACATCCTTTGGTATGGAGTTATACCCTACGGAATGCATCAAATACTCCTCCAAAATCGTCAGATAGCAATTATTCTTATAATTATATTTTTAAAGGTGATTCTGACCAGTGGAAATCATTTACCTTGATATTTTTAATTAAACTTACTTTTTGAAATGAAGGCTGATAGTTTCTAAAGAAACTGTTTAAGGCTGCGTCGGGGGTAACGAAATAATTTGAATATATCAACAAAGTTGAAATGGTAAATACGCCACCGTTACGATTTTAAAAGCTGAGGTTTCGAGCGTTAGCTCTTCATTGGAGCGAATAGGGGAATTGTGGGTTGTGTGTGCTTTTAAAGGCAGAAAAAGGAGCTACGTGATTGGTGGGAACATGGCAACGAGAAAAACACGAATAAATTAGTGGACACATCGAAACCAGTTGCAAGACATTTTAATTTACCCAACCATTCTAAGCAACACATGGCAATCTGCGGTCTTTCCTTACACTTAGGTAGCACGGAAAGCCAGAAAACTCTTGAACAAAAGCTCATCTTTCAAACCGGCAGTCTAAATCCCACAGCTATCAACGAACGCTTTTCATTCCACTAATTTATTCGTGTTTTTCTCATTGCCATGTTCCCACCAATCATGTAGCTCCTTTTTCTGCCTTAAAAAGCACACACAACCCACAATTCCCCCATTCGCTCCAACGAAGGGCTAACGCTCAAAACGTCAGCTTTTATAATCGTAACGGTGGCTAATTTACCATTTCAACTTTGTTGATATATTCAAATTATTACTTTTTTAAAACCTTGATGTCCAGAGGGTCAAGCTAAGAAGGTGTGATGACCAGGCTTTGGCATGAATCAATCCAGAGTACAGCGTGCATGCTTATTACCAAGCCACCACTCTCCTACTGTTTATGTGATTGTATGTTTAATTTATGGTGACCATCAAGATATTTCAACACTTTTTTGTTATGAAATAATCACATTTTTTTTTTTAAACTGTTACTTAATACAGATATCTGAAAAATTAAGCCTTCACACAATAAAAGATAGAAAATGGCAGATTCAAGCATGCTCAGCAAAAAGAGGGGAGGGTATCCAGGTTTGTATACTCTTCTGACATTTAAAGTCGTTTGCTTTTGTCTTGTTGTTATATAGCGTATGACCCAATGACTCTTGTAGAAACAATTTAATAAGTATTCAAGATCTAAAGTATTAACAAGTATGTAGTAACACCTAACAACTTATGAGCTGAATAAAAATTAATACTATACCTTGATCTTGAAAAAAATATTTATCTTGTGTTCAATTGTATTATTATAGTAAAGGGCTTGTATACTTATGTTATTCTAGTCAAGATCACACTGATGATCAACTAAATCTCTATGGCCAATCTTTGGTCTAAAACTGCTGACACAAGCATTGCTCTCTTTCTCTTGCACTGAATGTGTTTGCTTCATCACAAGTGTCTCACTTAACTTTTCTTGTCCATTTATGTAACATCTTGTGTACAGCATAGTTGTTAAGTATGTACAAAAACAGTGAAATTACACGTATATGGCAGAAAAAGATGATCTAAACTCATTTATTTCTGCAATGAAGGGAGCACAAAACTTGTTGAGTGGGAGGTAATAGCAAAGGATATTCAGAGTTTGAGTAGCTAATCAGAGCTCATCCTCATTGCTATCCACTGTTATAGTAGATACTATTCATCATTCCTCTTGTTCAAAAATCTTGTGTGTTTGTCCAAAACAGTGTTTGGCTGTTTGTTTTTGCCTACTTCTGTAAAATTTAGTCTTTCTTAATAGGTAAGGATACAAGCAAAAGTGAAATTAATCATAATTTGTCAATTAATTTGTGTTTTTCAGCAAGGATTGGAATGGGCATTAAAGAATATTTCAAGTGTTTCAAAGAAATAAATTTGTAGGGATACATTTTCCTTGACACTAGCATTTACTTTTTATGTACTAACTAAGCCAAGCAATTTTCATTTCAAAGCATCAGTCATACAATTTATCACTCTTTAGTGCGTGTACATGTTATTCATCCATATATTGTAAGGGTGGTAGATTGCTTTGCATTTCTCATAAGTTGGCTAGTGCACCAGTGCCATTAGCACAAACACAATAGATAGCAATGAAAGTCTCACTTCTAAGTATATTTTAATGGTCCAGAATTGTAAGAAAAAAAGATGTGTTGTGGCTCATGTGATTTTTGTAGCACCATAATTTATATATGTATAATACAGCCTGTATTGTGTAGTTGTTAGGTTAAACATCAAGACAATAAATCATGACTACTCTGTGTAAGCTTTACGGTAACATAGGTTAATTTTGTACAAAAGTTGACTTGTATTGTTTTAGAATGTGAAGTTAGTCAGTTACAGTTAGTCAGTCATTTTAACATAACTTTTCAAACCAATAGAACAACCCTTTTACTGTTGAATTTTCAAGAATTCTAAGTGGTTTTAGGCAGTACAAGAGTTACTATGGGTGGTAGATTGTAATAGTTACAGCCTTAAAAGGAGAACACTGTGTTTATTAGTGATTACAATCTTGCATAATGTGACAACATCAGGCTTGCGTATGGAATGTATTGTCAAGTTTTCATTGTCATTGGTTGCTTGCTTGTTTGTAGGAGCAAGTTATTTCTTGTATCTCTTCCTCTGAAATCTTGTTAGTCTGGTATCAACCTGTAAGAAGGTTCTTATCGGTGTTTTGCCTAAAGTAGCAAAGCTTACAACAGGTCTTTAGGGGTCTGATTTCTCTCAGGCTTTGCTTCAGGCTTTGCAGCTCTAGTTGCTTTAAATTTAATAATTAACCATCAGCTTATTACTGTCAAGTTGTCCAGTTATTATTAAACTGTCATTGTTATCACTGAAGTTAATTTTACTAAGTGTAAATCATGGAAAGTGCAAAGTGCAGTGTATTGCTTAATATAGAATACTAAATCCCATTGACAAGGAGATATATGGCAATTGAAGGATAAATAATAGTAATCACCCTTGGTGATTAAAGGTATGTTCTCTGATCATCCTTGTTATGAACCCTTTAACTCCCAGAGGTGATCAACACATAACTTCTCCCCCATAATAGCTGCTATACATTATCCAGCAAACACGTAACTAAAATGCTCAATCTTATGAGGTAGACATTGATGTCTTTACCAAACACCAAATTCTTGTAACTGACATACTAGAAAATGTGTATCAGCTAGAGGGGAGAATAAATAAAACAGATCTTGGAAGTTGAAGGGTGAAGAGATTTTACTCATCTCTGCTTCAGGGTATATGCATTGTGTTCTTTTAGATGCAAATGATTTATTGCTCTTTTTTTTTAAGGGTTTTCATACATGTTTGAATACCCCTTGTTATATATCTAGTGTACAATCTCTTCATAGATGTGTTTGATTATTTTTTTTTTTTTGTAGCTATGTGTAAATTGATTGTGTATTTGGTATTGATAACTGTTTTAACATTTGCACAAATAAATACCAGTTAAAAAAAGAATCAAGAAATTTGTTTCCAAGAAAATATTGAGTAGATGTAAAAAATTCACAACAGTTGACCTCAATTTAAAAAAATGAGGGCAGAAAGGTGAAATCAAATCTTTATCATTTACAAGAAATCATGTTCTTGATTGCAATGTGGAATGAACACCTCCTCAAATAGACTTACTGGTGATAGGAATTAGTATACATTAGACTTACTTAAGAGTATACAGTCAAAGTGGACATGTTAACCCAATATCTGTAGCAGATATTGGATTATCATGTCTAGTTTTCAAGCCTCTTGTCCATGTAGTGTTCTCAAACTTTTGCAAACTCAGAGAGAAGTGTCTTCTTGCAGATTGTTTAAAAATTGTATAATAAAACTATTGTTGAATTTGGTTTTGGCGTGATATCATGAATTATCAAACTTTGTGTCTGTGTTACTGCCTTAGCCTCTGTCAGCTAACTGAGACCTTGGCTTGACTTATGATATCATGCGCAACCTCATCCAATAATCCCTTACATGTAATATTATATCAATCAACTGAACATGAAAAATTTCAGGTTAGCCCATGCCTCATCACATCCACCTTTCTATCAAATTTCTAGCTTTTAAAAAAATATCCAGTTATGCTTGGTGCATCTTTAAGAATTTTTCCCATCAAAGTTTTCATCATGGTCAGAGAATGATCAAAGTTTTCTTAATTATGGTTGGAGAATGTGTCCCTTGTTAGTCGTTTCCATGTTGCTTTTCATTTGAATTGGAACCCCCTGGTGTTTCTCTACCATTCCCTTCCAGTTACAGTCTGGGTTGAACCAAATAATATTAGTGACTCTGGATCACACAAATTTTAATCTTAAAATCAAACCAATGAATCAAATGGGTAACACACATTAACTTAAATTTTTGTTGCATTCTTTATTTTTAAATCTTGAAATGTGTGTTTGTTATAATCAAAAAATATATACAGCAAGCCTCCAAATGAACTGACAACTAGTATTTTCATGAAAAATAATAACTCGGTGCTCCGAAGAACATTTTGTACAGAGTGACTTTGCCCAATTGTCCTGCAATAATCCAGATTGCAATTCCATCAAATTATTGCAACTATAACAAAAATTTACAAATCATTGAATCCTTTTTTTCGGCAATAGCATTGATCCTTTTGTAACATTTCCTAAGAGTACAAATTATGAATGATGGCTTGAACAAAGTCTGAGGTACTTGCACTGCCACCCATGTCCATTGTCAACTAAAAGTAAAAGAAATATCTTTAAGCTCTTTTGTAACAGTGGCTCTCGCATCTTAAATTAAATTTCAAACAAACAAGTTCATCATTGTAGACATAAGGTTGGAAAACTGGGAAATATCATTTGGTGTGTATCCTCGCATATTCCCCAGGGGAATATTTAACCTTGTGACAAGTTAAGACTAGTTGCATGGGAGCATAAATATTCGATGGATGGTAACACTGGATATTTCCCAGTTTTAACTGGAGCATATCCTGTCATGTGATGTTCCTAGACCAGCTCTGTGCAAGTGAAATGTTGGACGGATTTTGAAGTTGTGTTAGTGTGTCTTCCAAGTATATCATACCTGTCCTTCAGCAATTGTCTTCTCTAAAGCATCATTGATCATTTTAGCATAGGATCTAAGACTGAAAAACGAGACATGAGACAAGTGTTTAATTAAAACAATTTCTGTGTTTGAATTTCGATTCAATTTTGGCTGAAGTGACTTGTCAGCAAAGCACAACAATGAAAATAATTTTCTGTTATTCTCTTGTACAAGAGGTGATCCTTTTTGCATTCAATATAGTGCTTTATTACACGACTCGAGAAGTCAGAAGGCCAAAAACTAAAATCAACCAATCAAAATGCTCTACTGCCGGTCCGATATTCTCTAAGTATTGGACCGGGCACTGTCCCGAATGGTCCCGAATGATAGGGCACTTGTGTCCCTTTGAACTTCAGTCGTATAATAAATCTCTTATTAACCAAGCTTGCTCTGGACCATACTGGAAGAATATCAGCCCTCGGTCTTTTTTGTACGGACCAAACGCAGCGAGGTCCGTACTGTCAAGACCTCGGGCTGATATTCTCTCAGTACGGCCCTTCCCTGCAGAAACTGATTTCTTGCAAATGAATTGGTGAACTACAGCAAGCAAAAATAATATCTTGTTTTGTTCCTAGATTTTTTAAAGTCCAACAGTTGAACAAAAAAAAACCTACTTCATGTGATCCAGCATGTCCACGCTTGCTAAAATCATTGCAGTGGGGTTTGCAATATTTCTCCCTGCTACTCCAGCATAAGTATGACGAGCTCCCTATCAAAAAATATTTGTGGAAAATAAAATAATTACTTCCTTTCTTCTCCCTGTAAATTATAAATATCAATTAAGATTTCATACCACTCTATTTATAATGTTGTATTGGTACAGTATTTTTGACTGTGATACACTGTGTTGTTCCTGTTTGACCTGTTTGACCAGTTTACAACAAATATAAACTAAGATATATTAAAGTTCACACAGCAACCAGGTGGACAATCAGACATGGTTTGATGCTACTCTGGTTTAAAGACTTAATGAATGTCAAAACATTGGGTCAATGAACTGTAATTTTCCTGGTTACATTAATTAAATCTTTAAACCAAAGTAGCATCAAACCATGGCTAAATATTAGCTAACAAAAATGGAGCATAGGGAAACTAAATCCCATATTTAATGGTTAGCCTTAAAATGCATTCAGAAATTTTGGCCATTTCTCATATTTTCTTTGCTTAGTTGGGGCATTGAAAAAAACTAGTACACAACTTACACAAGATCTGGGGATATCATCTGTTGAAACATTGAAACAGATATAAAGATATAATTTTATTTTTAACAAAACATGGTTTAGTTTGTTTTTTTTTAGACCTCAAGACATTTTTTTTTGGAAACATTTTAAGCAAGAGCAGTTAACTGCAAGAAATACTCACAGGCTCAAAAATGGCAAAGTTACTTCCAAGACTTTTTCCAGGCACAACACCTGCCCCACCCACCAATGCTGCCCCAACATTGTCCACAATACTGCCATACAAGTTTGGCAGTACCATCACATCAAACTGGCCTGGCTTGGCTACAAGCTGAAGGTTAAATTACAGAAACAAATATTTAGGGATATTTGTAGCATTCATTAAAAAAGGTGCAATAGCCCTTACCCAACACTGAAGGCCTGAACACAGTGTGACGTCAGAGAGTTTTCACCGTGATCTCGAGGCTCAGGCAGATCCAGGATTTTTACTAGGAAATGATGTCTACTATGGCAAAAAAAGGGCTAATGCCTGAAACTTCAGTGTCAAATTACCATTTTTTGCATTATATTGCCAATAAAAAACAGCTTTTCTTTTTTTTTTTTTTTTTTTTGCACAATACTGGATATTACATCAGAAAGCCACAGGTCATTTCATCCCTTGATCCACCCCTAAGGCTCTATTGGTAATGGCTTTATTTTTTGTTTTGTTTGGCATACCTGCATGCAAGTGTTGTCTACTATCATCCCTTCAAACTTGATCTTTGGGTAGAGTTTGGAAACTTCTTCACAAGTTTTCAGAAATAACCCATCGCCCTGCTTCCTGTTGTAACAACAACAACAACGACAAAAAGAAAAAAAAAAAGACTTAAAAAGAAATTTTAAAAAATCTTTTAAAAAGATTAGGGTTGAAGGAGAAGCTTTGAATGAAAAACAATATTAAAGATTTCTGGAAATACTGTATAATTTTTCGTTAAAATTTACAATTTCATCACAATAAGTTTCAAGGTACATAGCAAATTAAATGACCAGATGTCCGATGCAAAGAACAGATTGATCCCAATCAAAGTCATCATAATATGTTTCAATTGATTTGGGTTTTGATTCTCTTGTAAGTATTCAAGTACTTTGATTACCAAAAATCTGCATTCATGGTGGCATTTTGTTATACATATAGCTCTGTTAATACAGAGTACAGTCATGTGCTTGTCACTTGTTTATTTGTTTCATTGTAATCCTGTGGTGGTGCCAGACTGATCTACCAATAGAATAAAAGCTGATAGTTTCTAAAGAAACTGTTTATAGCTGCGTCGCTGGCGGTAACGTAATAATTTGGATATATCAACAACGCTCGAAACATCAGCTTTTGTAATTGTTACGGTGGCTTGTCACTTGTTTATTTGTTTCATTGTAATCCTGTGGTGGTGCCAGACTGATCTACCAATAGAATAAAGGCTAATAGTTTCTAAAGAAACTGTTTGGGGCTGCGTCGCTGGAGGTAACGAAATAATTTGGATATATCAACAACGCTTGAAACGTCAGCTTTTGTAATTGTTATGGTGGCCAATTTACCATTTCAACTTTGTTGATAGATCCAAATTATGATCTACCAATAACTTACATGATGTTTGCCTTATGAACAGCAGTAACCTTCTGTCGTTTGTGTTTTGTTGCATAATCAAAAGCAAACTTGGCAATTCTTTCAGATTTTTTTTTGGTGATAACCTTAATCATTTCAACTACTCCTGGTACACTCTGCAATAAAAAAATATGGGAAAAATAAAAATTACAATGAACAAAAATAATAATCATGATAACAACTATAATAATATTATAATATTTCAGCCTGCTTGCTTGGGTGGTTTCATTGAAGCCTTTCAAAAATTCCCAAAATCTTGGACATTAACTTATAAAATAAAATGGGTAAAACACACACCACCACTTAACACAGGAAAAACAAAAATAATTGCTGCAAAGTTTCATTAATATTTTCAATCTATCATTGCTTCATTGCTAATAAACAAAATGTGACTGCTGGGTATATTATCTACTTATTGTGTTTCCCTGAATAAGCCCTT